CCTAAGGTTTTGGAAGGATTTCGTCTTGCGCGCACGAATGTCCACTTTACCTTATTTTTTGCAAGGGATTCTTGCAATTTGATCAAGTAAGAACAAGAATTTTCATTTTATAGTGTTTTTTGCAAGGGAAAACGGAGTACAACAAAACAACCGGATCCGGTAATAATTCACTTTTCTGAAGCTTTCGCTAAAAAATGATGAAAATGTAGCTGCGGCCTAGGTTTTGGAGGGGGGTCGCGCACCAGGGGTCCCAACAATAATTATTCTTTAGAAGTAATAATGTTCAACAACAACAACAACAACAACAACAACAACAACAACAACAACAACAACAACAACAAAAATCGCACGCGGGCGGCCCACCCGCAAACCGAATCAGGGAGCCACCCCAGCAGGGCGACAAGACAAGGCCCAGGGACCCGAGCAACTCAAAGCATGCACGCGGCCAAGCTATGTAACATATGATGGCACAGGCAGCATCACAAAGTAAAGCCCTGGATGTTGCACGGAAGTACATCTGTGGTACTGCGTGGGGAACGACATGGTGACAACGACTGGGTAAACACTATTTCCCGCCAGCCCACCACCACGCCAGTCCAGCAAGGCGCCTGCGACACTTCGGGGACCAGGACCAACCATGGGCCATAAGCAACGTGTCGCACATTCCCCCCACAGCACGTCAGAGCCACCGAATCTTCGGTGGCAACCCATTGGAACCTCGCACACCATCTCGTCAACTCTTGCAAATCGTCGTGTCGACGCGAAATCGACGCGAATCGACGGTAGACCGACAGTAACCGACGCTAACCGACGACAAATCGGCGCTTTTCCATCGACTCCCAGACGCAAATCGAAGCGAGCCGACAGTCAAAAAGGAATTACAAGGCTACACCGGGCTCTCATGATTTGCTACAGAGCGAATATCCCTCGAGCGGCGGATCGTCCGACGGTGATCAAGCTGGGAAGGCCGAGACAAAGCGCAGCGGACACGGCGGCCCCCCACCCCCAACCGCTGAGGGCCAACGACCGAACCACCTTGCCCAGCCGCCGACTCTGAGGAAGCAGCAAGAACAACCCTTGGAGGCCCCAAGAAGCCCGCCCCCCCCCCCCCCCGCGACCACCAGGCCACGCCCGATGCGCAACTCGCTACGGAATGGCTCGCCAATCCTGTCTACAAACACATGAAGCTGTATCATAGGGAGCAAGGGCGTGGCCTGCTTCGCTTCATACTTGGCAAGTACTTGAGCGCAGACTTTCCCAGCCAACGCAGTCTGCAACGGGAAACCGAATCAAGAAACCGCAAACGCAGATTGTTGCGGAAACGGATGCCGACGCGAAGACTGGCGCCAAAAAGGCCCACCTCCGTGAACTGAAACCCGTGGCCTCGAAGAGAAGCGAATGCCACCAGAAGCGATACCTTTTCAAGACCCCCGCGTTTCCACCTTCAGTCACAATTTGAGGGGCCATCGCCCCCCACCCCCCCCCCGACACGCATATATAGATATGCACACACGCACGCACATACATACATACATACATACATACATACATACATACATACATACATACGTACATACAGACGTACATACATGCATACAAACATACATTCCAAAATACTTACATACACGCATACACACATACATACATACATACATACATACATACAGACATACATACATGCATGCATGCATGCATGCATACATACGTACACACATACGTACATACATACATACATACAGATAGACAGACAGACAGACAGACAGACAAACAGACAGACAGACAGAGACAGACAGACAGACAGACAGACTGACTGACAGACAGACAGGCTGGCGGAAGAGGAGGAAGAGGAGGAGAAGGAGGAGTCCGAGCACGAAGCCTGGCTGGGGGCCAGCGCAAACCAACAACGCTCTGCGTCAGCCCCCCGAAGACAATCGTTGCATGGCGCCCGAGCCACCAAGCGTCGGCCATCCCCAGGGCGGAAAGGTTGCGCCAGCCGGGGTCTGTAGACTCCGCTACCCGGGAGCTCCGCCACTGCCGCGTGGACGGCGTAGCGGCGCCTCTCAAACCTGTCGCCAGCGCCCGCCCGCCGCCGCAGCTCCAGGCGCAGGTCCGCGCCAGCCGAAGGCTCCTGGCCAAGGTGCCAAGCAGCGAGCGGGCAGCCCTCCCGCCCGCTGCCCAGCCAGCGTCGTCGGCCGCCGTCGCGGCGGCCGCGCGCCTCGCGGCGCCCCGCGTCGTCGGCGGCTACCTGCCCGCCGCCTGCCGGCGAGTTGGCCGCCGCGCTAGCGTCTCCGCCCGGCGCCGCGCCGCCGCCTCGCCCGCGGAGCCCCCGCCGGCTGGCGCGCCGCCTGGCGGCCTTGCGGAGCTGGCGCGCCGTGGCCGCTTGCAGACCGCAGCCCAGGACCTTATAGGCCCGCGCCAGCTCCCGTGGCTGCTGGTCCTCAGGCAAGCGTCGCACCTGCCTCGGCGCCGAACCGCCCCCCGCCTCGAGGACGAAGGGCGTCAGCCGGGCTCCCGGGTAGCGGGCGTGCTTCTCCCGCCGCTCGCCGCGCCTGCTGGCCTCGCCGTCCCGGCGTGCCGACACGTGCAGCTCGGCCTGAGTGCCAGCTGCGGGGTGGCGACAGGAGACGTCGAGCCACTGGGCACCGTCTTCCTCCTGGTACTCCAGGTCCAGGATGGCGCGCTCGAGCTGGCCGTCCTGTTCTCGAGATGGTGCGCTCGACGGTCCCAGGTCGGCACCCTCTGTTCGAGGAGAAACCGCTCGCCAGACAGACAGACAGACGGACAGTCAGACAGACGGACAGACAGACAGACAGACAGACAGACATGTGCACGCATACATACATACATACATACAAACAGACAAACAGACATATATACCAACATGCATACATATAGACATTCACTACATACATGCATACATACATACATCTATACATACATACATACATACATGCATACATACATACATACATACATACATACATACATACATACATATGTGTATACATACCTACATACATACATTACATATATACATACATACATACACACATACATACATACATACATACATACATACGTACGTACATACATACATACATGCATACATACATACATACATACATACGTACGTACGTACGTACATACATACATACATGCATGCATGCATACATACATACATACATACAAACAAACCTACATACCTACCTACATACATACATATACATGCATACATACATACATGCATACATGCATGCATACATGCATGCATGCATGCATACATTTATACGTGTATACATAAATACATATATGCATGCATACCTACATACATACATACATACATGCATGCATACATACATCCGTACATCATGCATGCATGCATGCATGCATGCATGCATGCATGCATGCGTGCATGCATACATGCATGCACACATGCATACATGCATACATACATGCATACATCCATACATACATACATGCATACATGCATACATGTGTGCATGCCTACATACATACGTACATACATGCATGCATGCATGCATACGTATATACATGCATACCTATATACCTATATACCTACATACATACATACCTACATACCTACATACTTACATACCTACATACCTACATACATGCATACATACATGCATGCATGCATGCATGCGTACATGCATACATACCTACATGCATGCATGCATGCATGCATGCATGCATGCATGCATACATTCATATATATATATACATACATACATAGATGCATACATACAGACAGACAGACAGGCAGACAGGCAGACAGGCAGGCATGCAGACAGACAGACAGACCGACAGACAGACATATATATACATATATATATGTATCTATAGATGTGTGTATGTATACATTTGTGCATATATGTATACAAACATACATATACAGGGGGCGGCTCATCACGCTCACCCCGCAGACCGCCCAGCGCCGCAGCACGGTGGACCAGACAGGACAACCGCCCTGCCGCCTGACCAGCCAGAACCACCCGACCCCAGAGGACGAGGGCGCACGGCCACTGCAAGCGACATCGGCGCAGTTCTGAGCCTGACGACCTACCATAGACAAGCGCGTTCCACTACTCGCAACTTAACTACTCGCAAATGGCCTGGATTCCTGGATCCGCCATGTGGGATTTACGACACATTACACCGAGGCAAGCACATGTGTTTCGGACGTTTGCAAGAAGGCACTTTGCGAGTCGTGGAACGCAATCGGTGAAACCAGACCATTCCAACGGAACCCGAAGACCCGAATTTCGGGCCCGGGGGGAGGGGGGGGAACGGGCCCCGCGTGTGTGTTTTTAATGTTCCCCGACGCCCCCCCCGTCCACTGGGAATGAAGGACACTGTGGGGCCTTCGGGCTGGGTTGGGGAAGTTAGGTGGGTGGTGAGAGTCCCCGCTGCCCGCTACCAAGCCCGAGCGGAAGACTTGCAACCGGTGGCGAGCCCTGGAAAGCCCGAAGGTCAGCAGGGGATGCCTCCTTCATCCGTTTTCCCCGGGCTCCTCGTGAGAACAGCCCTGCAGGCCGTGTAAACAGACCGCAGCTTTTGTCCCGCGTCGATCTATACATAGCTCCCCAGAGGAGTCCCAACCCCCTCCGAGGGTGCTGGAACTGTGGAGCCCCAGTCGGCCCCAGCCCTCACCAGCCTGCCCACCAAGAGCTGCAGGGAGGTCATCTAGCAGAGCCTTGAGCTTCGGGGGAGGGGGCCGTCAAAAAAGCGATCCCTGGCCCTTCAGAGGAGGACAAAAGGGAGCGAAGGCGCATGCTCATGATCCCTCACACGCCCCAGGACGCCATCAACCTGCCGCATGCTGGGGAGGAGGAGGAGGAGGAGGAGGAGGAGAGGACTGCACCTCTCTCACTCTCTATCCCCATCCATCCACCACCCACTCGAAGTTTCTCCCTCCCCTGCTCCGCCCTCCACGAGCAGCGCGCGGTCGCCAAGAGAGCAGCGCGGCGGCGGCGGAGGGCCTCGATCGGGAAGCCGGGGCGGAACTGCTCGTACTCGTCCCACTTCCTGGAGATGCCCTCGGGCGCGGCGCCGTCGCGGCGAAAGTCCTCCTGCCTCCCTCCCTCCCTCCAGCCCCACCCCTCCAGCTGGTGCCGTTCCACCTTTGCCTCCTCCTCCTCCCTCTCTCCTCTCCTCCTCCTCCCTCCTCCTCCTCCTCCTCCTCCTCCTCCTCTCCCTCCTTCCTCCTCCTCCTCCTCCTCCTCCTCCTCCCCTCCCCATTTCCTCCTCTGTCGATCCAGACCCTTACTTTACCGCCGAACTGGCCGAGGGCAGCCCGAGCCAGGACGCTCCATCCCACCTGGCTGAATACCATATACATACACAGTCGGCGTGTTGGTGCACAGCCCACCCGAGAGGGTAAAAATGCTGATCTCGCCTCAGAGCCGCGGCCATCTCTCCTGAGGATTGAGCTCCCGCGCGGGCGTGGCTCACACCCTTCGCACGCCGACACGTCGACGCTCGAGCGGACGAACATGTCGTTTTCGCCTCGGCGCCGCGCAAAATTCGCCTCGGCGCCACGCATTATCTGTCACTCGCCAAATCAACGGGGGCCCGCGCGAACGGGCGACTTGTCGCCATCACCCGAGTTCCGTGCACATTCGCATCGAAGTGGCATTCCTGCGTGGGCTCGGCGCATGCTTCGCCCGCCGCATTGCATGAAAGAGGCAGCGGCAATGTCAGCGGGGCCGCGCGAGAGCGGGCGAAATACCGTCCTCATCTCAGTGCAGCTAAATTTGAGCGTGCAAGTGGCAGCGCTACTTCGGTGCGGCGCTGTATCAGCGCCCATCGGGAATTTGGGCGTTTCCTCCTCCTCCTTCCTCTTCCCCCCCCTCCTCCTCCTCCTCCTCCTCCTCCTCCTCCTCCTCCCTCCTCCTCCTCCTCCTCCTCCTCCTCCTCTCCTCCTCCTCCTCCTCCTCCTCCTCCTCCTCCTCCCCTCCTCCTCCCTCCTCCTCCTCCTCCTCCTCCTCCTCCTCCCTCTTCTTATTGTTCCCCACATGCTTCGTGGGGTTCTGGTTTTCTTCCCTGCCGCGCCGCGCCCGCGTTCCCCCACACCCGCCCTCCTCCCCTCCTCCTCCTCCTCCTCCTCCTCCTCCCCTCCTCCTCCTCCTCCTCCTCCTCCTCCTCCTCCTCCTCCTCCTCCTCCTCCTCCTCCTCCTCCTCCTCCTCCTCCTCCTCCTCCTCCTCCTCCTCCTCCTCAGCACAGCGCAGCACAGCACAGCAGACCGCAGCACAGCATAGGACAGCACAGCACAGCTCAGCAGAGCACAGCACAGCACGTCTCGGCGACACGCGTCTACATACAGCCGCACGCATGCACACACTCGCACACACAAGACGACACCAGTCCTGGCATAGCAGGCGTGGCACTTTCTCGACACCATAGGGGGTGCGCAGGGGGTGGTCTCTCGCTGCGGTCTCTATACGCCCCAGTCGTCCTGCTATAGCAGGCGTGGCCCCAGTCGTCCTGGCATAGCAGGCGTGGCACTTTCTCGACACCATAGGGGGTGCGCAGGGGGTGGTCTCTCGCTGCGGTCTCTATACGCGCCGGTCGTCCAGGCATAGCAGGCGTGGCACTTTCTCGACACCATAAGGGGTGCGCAGGGGGTGGGTGGTCTCTCGCTGCGGTCTCTATACGCGCCGGTCGTCCAGGCATAGCAGGCGTGGCACTTTCTCGACACCATAGGGGGTGCGCAGGGGGTGGTCTCTCGCTGCGGTCTCTATACGCGCCGGTCGTCCAGGCATAGCAGGCGTGGCACTTTCTCGACACCATAGGGGGTGCGCAGGGGGTGGTCTCTCGCTGCGGTCTCTATACGCGCCGGTCGTCCAGGCATAGCAGGCGTGGCACTTTCTCGACACCATAGGGGGTGCGCAGGGGGTGGTCTCTCGCTGCGGTCTCTATACGCGCCGGTCGTCCAGGCATAGCAGGCGTGGCACTTTCTCGACACCATAGGGGGTGCGCAGGGGTGGTCTCTCGCTGCGGTCTCTATACGCGCCGGTCGTCCAGGCATAGCAGGCGTGGTACTTCTCGACAACAAAGGGGGTGCGCAGGGGGTGGTCTCTCGCTGCGGTCTCTATACGCGCCGGTCGTCCAGGCATAGCAGGCGTGGCACTTTCTCGACACCATACGGGGTGCGCAAGGGGTGGTCTCTCGCTGCGGTCTCTATACGCGCCGGTCGTCCAGGCATAGCAGGCGTGGCACTTTCTCGACACCATAGGGGGTGCGCAGGGGGTGGTATCTCGCTGCGGTCTCTATACGCGCCGGTCGTCCAGGCATAGCAGGCGTGGCACTTTCTCGACACCATAAAGGGTGCGCAGGGGGTGGTCTCTCGCTGCGGTCTCTATACGCGCCAGTCGTCCAGGCATAGCAGCCGTGGCACTTTCTCGACGCCATAGGGGGTGCGCAGGGGGTGGTCTCTCGCTGCGGTCTCTATACGCGCCGGTCGTCCAGGCATAGCAGGCGTGGCACTTTCTCGACACCATGGGGGGTGCGCAGGGGGTGGTCCCTGAGCGCGGCTGCTATACGCGCCGGTTGTCCAGGCATAGCAGGCGTGGCACTTTCTCGACACCAGAGGGGGTGCGCAGGGGGTGGTCCCCGAGCGCGGCTGCTATACGCGCCGGTCGTCCAGGCATAGCAGGCGTGGCACTTTCTCGACACCATAGGGGGTGCGCAGGGGGTGGTCCCTGAGCGCGCGGCTGCTATACGCGCTGGTCGTCCAGGCACAGCAGGCGTGGTACTTTCTCGACACCAGAGGGGGTGCGCAGGGGGGGGTCCCTGAGCGCGGCCGCTATGCACGACGGTCGTCCAGGCACAGCAGGCGTGGCACTTTCTCGACACCAGAGGGGGGCGCAGGAGGTGGTCCCTGAGCGCGCGGTCTCTATACGCGCCGGTCGTCCAGGCATAGCAGGCGTGGCACTTTCTCGACACCATAGGGGGTGCGCAGGGGGTGGTCCCTGAGCGCGGCTGCTATACGCGCCGGTCGTCCAGGCATAGCAGGCGTGGCACTTTCTCGACACCAGAGGGGGTGCGCAGGGGGTGGTCCCTGAGCGCGCGGCTGCTATACGCGCCGGTGTCCAGGCATAGCAGGCGTGGCACTTTCTCGACACCAGAGGGGGTGCGCAGGGGGTGGTCCCTGAGCGCGGCCGCTATGCACGACGGTCGTCCAGGCACAGCAGGCGTGGCACTTTCTCGACACCAGAGGGGGGCGCAGGGGGTGGTCCCTGAGCTCGGCCGCTATGCGCGACGGTCGTCCAGGCACAGCAGGCGTGGCACTTTCTCGACACCAGAGGGGGGCGCAGGGGGTGGTCCCTGAGCGCGGCGCTATCCGTTTCCAGTCGTCCAGGCATAGCAAAGCGTGGCACTTTCAGGGGGGGGGGGGACACCACAGGGGGTGCGCAGGGGGGGGTCCCTGAGCGCGGCAGCTATCCCCTTGCCACTCGTCCAGGCATAGCAGGCGTGGCACTTCCTCGACACCATAGGGGGTGCGCAGGGGGTGGTCCCTGAGCGCGGCCGCTATCCGTGCCATTCGTCCAGGCATAGCAGGCGTGGCACTTTCTAGACACCATAGGGGGTGCGCAGGGGGTGGTCCCTGAGCGCGGCCGCTATCCGTGCCAGTCGTCCAGGCATAGCAGGCGTGGCACTTTCTCGACACCATAGGGGGTGCGCAGTGGGTGGCCCCCGAGCGCGGCCCCTATCCGTGCCAGTCGCCCAGGCATAGCAGGCGTGGCACTTTCTCGACACCATAGGGGGTGCACAGGGGGTGGTCCCTGAGCGCGGCCGCTATCCGTGCTAGTCGTCCAGGCATAGCAGGCGTGGCACTTTCTAGACACCATAGGGGGTGCGCAGGGGGTGGTCCCTGAGCGCGGCCGCTATCCGTGCCAGTCGTCCAGGCATAGCAGGCGTGGCACCTTCTAGACACCACAGGGGGTGCGCAGGGGGTGGTCCCTGAGCGTGGCCGCTATCCGAGCCAGTCGTCCAGGCATAGCAGGCGTGGCACCTTCTAGGCGCCATAGGGGGTGCGCAGGGGGTGGTCCCTGAGCGCGGCCGCTATCCGTGCCAGTCGTCCAGGCATAGCAGGCGTAGCACTTTCTCGACACCATAGGGGGTGCGAAGGGGGTGGTCCCTGAGCGCGGCCGCTATCCGTGCCAGTCGTCCAGGCATAGCAGGCGTGGCACTTTCTAGACACCATAGGGGGTGCACAGGGGGTGGTCACTGAGCGCGGCCGCTATCCGCGCCAGTCGTCCAAGCATAGCAGGCGTGGCACTTTCTAGACCCCATAGGGGGTGCGCAGGGGGTGTGAGCGCGGCCGCTATCCGTGCCAGTCGTCCAGGCATAGCAGGCGTGGCACTTATAGACACCATAGGGGGTGCGCAGGGGGTGTCCTGAGCGTGGCCGCTATCCGTCAGTCGTCAGGCATAGCAGGCGTGGCACTTTTCTCGACACCATAGGGGGTGCGCAGGGGGTGGCCCCTGAGCGCGGCCGCTATCCGTGCCAGTCGTCCAGGCATAGCAGGCGTGGCACTTTCTCGACACCATAGGGGGTGCGCAGGGGGTGGTCCCTGAGCGCGGCCGCTATCCGTGCCAGTCGTCCAGGCATAGCAGGCGTGGCACTTTCTAGACACCATAGGGGGTGCGCAGGGGGTGGTCCCTGAGCGCGGCCGCTATCCGTGCCAGTCGTCCAGGCATAGCAGGCGTGGCACTTTCTCGACACCATAAGCGGCCCCTACACCAGGCATAGCACTTTCTCGACACCATAGGGGGTGCACAGGGGGTGGTCCCTGAGCGCGGCCGCTATCCGTGCCAGTCGTCCAGGCATAGCAGGCGTGGCACTTTCTAGACACCATAGGGGGTGCGCAGGGGGTGGTCCCTGAGCGCGGCCGCTATCCGTGCCAGTCGTCCAGGCATAGCAGGCGTGGCACTTTCTCGACACCATAAGGGGGTGCGCAGGGGGTGGTCCCTGAGCGCGGCCGCTGGCTGGCTCGAATCTGTCCTTGATGGAGGATAGAAGGCTAGGAAGAGG